AGGAAAATTTGTTTCTCTAGATTTTAGTACTGGCCTGAGAGACTAAATAAAAATATGTATTCTAAAAATCCTCTGTTTATATTTGGTGTTAGTCATGAAAACTGCTAATGTTTTCCTTTTGTTGTTGATAACCATCTTCCAGGATACCACACTGATACATGGTATGGATAGCTGAGTCGATTAATACAGGTTTTCCTAATATGGTTACATGAAATATTAAGTGACAAAGATATTCTTTCTTAAGGGATTTACTAAAACTTTGCATGCTTGCTACTCATATTTATATTACAGTCTGGTAAAGGCAATATCTATTGGCACAGAATTTAATATTTAAATGTTTACCTTTTATGGCTTGATGAGTCCCCTTACTCTGCAGAGACCAGCACTCTTCTGGTTGTTCCTCCATCTGAATGGTCACTAAGTACAGGAAATTGGTTTTGTCTCCAAAATAGCAAGATAATTTGATTATGTTAGTAACACAGGGAAGGTAATTCAAGGTTAGACACTGTTGCTGAATTTGAGGTTCTGTGATTGCTTGTTTTTTGTTTTTTTGTTTTTTTAAGATTTTATTTATTTATTTGACAGAGAGAGAGATCACAAGTAGGCAGAGAGAGAGGAAGGGAAGCAGGCTCCCTGCTGAGCAGAGAGCCTGATGCGGGGCTTGATCCCAGGACCCTGGGATCCGAAGGCAGAGACTTTAACCCACTGAGCCACCCAGGCGCCCCATGATTGCTTGTTTTGATGATAATGACACGGGCTAACTCCCAGACAGTAAAAGGAGGCAAGTTGTGCCTCCAAAGAAACCTGTTTCTTGATAGTTTTCCAGTGCTCTCAAATGCATGTGTCCATCCAGTAAGCAAAAGAGGGCAAAACAAAGAAAACAAAATAAAAACAAGTTATTTTTCCTCACAACTCTTGATTCCTTACATCTTAATCTGCATTTCAGTCTTGCCCCATTCCAAGGACAGGTCTTAACCTGAACAGGAATAATTTCAAGAACTCAGAGCAATTAGTAAACATAAAATAATAATATGATGGATTGAGCAAAAAATGCTGGTGTCTTTATGTATTCTCAATCCTCACATCAAACCTGCAAATTCAACATCATTTCTCCCAAATGCATACATGAGGAAATCATTCCTTAATTATCCATTATATGCATTTGAGAGCACTAAAATATGTGTGTGTGTGTGTGTGTGTGTGTGTGTGTGTATACATACATATGTATATATCAAGAGACAAGCAATCTCAGAAGGCAAGTTTATTTCCTGTTACCCAGGAGAGCAATATTTTAAAAACAATGTTTAAAACAGGGATCTAGGGGTGCCTGGGTGGCTCAGTGGGTTAAAGCCTCTGCCTTCGGCTCAGGTCATGGTCCCAGGGTCCTGGGATCGAGCCCCACATCAGGCTCTCTGCTCGACGGGAAGCCTGCTTCCTCCTCTCTCTCTGCCTATCTCCTCTGCCTACTTGTGATCTCTGTCTGTCAAATAAATAAATAAAAATCTTAAAAAAAACAGGTATCTATTTCATAACAATGTATGAGGAGTCTATGAAGTCTGAAGTATGAAGTCTGTGGTATAGTCTTCAAGGGATAAGGTGTACCTTCAAATATTACTTTGTATACTTAATTTAATTTTCTATCAAATAAGATATTAAGGGTTGTAATTTAATAGAAAAGAGACAGGTTTTCTATGTCACTTATGTCATAATTCAATTTTTGTTTTTTTAATTACTTTTATTAACATATAATGTGTTATTTGCCCCAAGGGTACAAGGTCTGTGAATCATCAGGCTTGCACATTTCACAGTACTCACCATAGCACATACCCTCCCCAATGTCCATAACCCAGCCACACTTTCCCTACCCATCTACCCCCCAGCAACCCTCAATTTGTTTTGTGAGATTGAGTCTTCATATTTCAATTTTTAAAATTTCCTTTTCTTTATTCTAGATTGATAAGGTGCCAAGGCTACCCACCATACTCTATTTCTATAATACAAGGGTTTTGTTCTATATACATAGAATAAGGTAGCTTATAACAAAGTTTCATATACTTCTGTGATGATTATGGACAGGGGTTTGAATCTGATATACACTGTTTATACCTGATCTTCATTCATTGGTGACTTAAGAGTCAGCATTTACAAAGCTCTAGGGATTTTGGCCATAGTGGTTTTCTACCATTGATGCTGAGTGTCCTGTCCACCTTGTATTTGGTCATTTTTACATCACCATAGTGACCAACTTAGTCTCCTCTAAGTAGCATTAGCATCTTATGTAGGGCTATTTGGTACACATTTCTTTTCTCTATCATATAAAAAATGACCAGACTCTCAGAATTCTGTGGTGTGGACACTTAAAGAAGTAATTAGTATAAGACAAAAACAAACTGAAGAGACTATCCTTTCTCAGTGTTTAAGATTATTTAGGCACTTATTTATTTGTTTTTCCCTGCAGTTTCCATATTGAGTAGTAGATGTAAAGAAGCACTGTGGATCAAATTAATACTTTGGGTCATTGTAGGTATAATTACTTGTTTTTTATAGCCACCTAGAGTATGATGGTCCACAGCAGTTTTTGTTTTAATAAGAAATATTATTGATGGCTTGCTGGTTTCATACTCTTAATATGACACTGATATGCTTGATTTTCCACTGTTTGGTGGAAAGATGCATTGCAGCTTTCCATTGAGAATTATTCCTGGTCAGTTCTTGATGATGTCAGAGATTTCTTGATTAACAAATAACAATGATATTAAGAAAGATAAACTCAAGGTGGCCTATAATCTCAATGACAGTTATCAGACAAAACAAATTTTGACTATAAAATGGTAGGTCCTGTAGGTTTTCTGATATTTTTCAATTAAAAAGAATTATCCACTTCTCGGTCATTTAGAAAAAAACTGACTTTTATGGTAAATGGCATAATAGAAAAGAGAACTTGAAGAAAAATCACAATTTTTTTTTATTATTCCAACTCATTTGTTTGAAAGGGTAAGGCATAAATCAATATGCATTTTTATAACATGCTTTTTTCACTATCCATCTAAAATTTATATATTTTATAGTCTTTCTATTTGTATATAAATCATAGGGTTTATTATTAACAGTTTTCTTTTTGCTGTCACTATAAATGACATGGTTGCCAGTAGCTGAGCACCCATGAGTAACCTAGCAACAAGTCAGCTCTCTAACAAGTAAGAAATAAATGCAAACAAAGTGCTCTGGGAAAAAGAGTTCAGTTTCAGAATATTAGTGCATGTATACTGCTAAATATCAAGATGAAATCTTCTAATTTGGGGGAAATTACATTACAATAGGTGTTGAATTTTCTAGTAAATAATACATTGCCAGTGAAATCTTGTCTCCTTCATTCAGAAAACAAATGGAATCTATTTCAGACTGCAGCACTGTTGACTAGGTAACTGAATATATGTGTCTTCCCCGGAACCCTATTCATTACAGATTAGATGAGAGAAATGTCTTGGCATGTTTTCACTATGTGGTTGATGAGTTTACTAGATGGAGTTTCAACAGTAAACCTTCCTGACAGTGAGGTATTGTTGATCTCTTAAATAGTTTTAGAATAAATGTTTTATATTATTTTCAAAGGGTTGTGCTTATAGTTCTGAACTTCTGGGGGCATGATTTTCTTAGAAAAACTATGAAAGACTCCACCTTATTTTTTCACATGTTAAGACTTTGGTATATTTAATATCAGTCTCTTCTGGTGAAATTTAATTTATATAATTACTGTTTGTTTTCACTGAGAAAATAGCACTCCTCTCTGTTAGTTGTCAGGTCATAGTGGAGGTAGATCAGGTATTGGGGGAAAGCTGTAACTTCATAGGCTCATCATTGGTATGATGAATAGAGCAGGTAGAGAGGGAAATACATACTGGTGAGTACCTTCCATTAAATAGCACAGCTTCTATTCTGTGTGACAGCAGAATTACTTGGCCTTTCTCAATCTGACAGGCAGTTCACTGCACTTAAAGAAATCTTAGTGCCCCATGGAAGATTGAGGTAAGGGACAGAAGGATGGGTTAGGAGCTGAGCATATGATTGTACATTTAAAATGAATGCATAGAATGGTAGAACTGGAAAGCATCCTCACTCTGCTGAAAAATTTTGTTTTCCCCAAATACCCTGAGTTTTAGGTTACTTTGAAAATCTGACGTTAAATGACTGAATTGTTGCTACAATCACTCTTGGGATGTGAGCTCAACTCTGACCTCTTTCTCTCACTATCCACACAGATCTCCCTTCTCTGGGGAAGAGGAGAATAAAAATCATGAGATCCTTAAAGAGAGACCCAAACATACTTACCAAGATAGTCTGATTTCATCTATATATGAGAAGTTTGGTCACTTACATTGTTTGGATTGAAGTGAGTCACCTTAAATAAATGAAAGACTATTCTTTACATGAGAAACACTTACCTCCCTTGAAGGCATTTAGCTACAACTGAGTAGATCAATTGCATGGAATTTGTACTCAAAATGTCATGACAGAATAATATGGTCTATATTGTTGATGTTACTCATGATGGCTGCAGTCCTTGGTTAGTTGTTCAGGAAAGTGGCATTTTAGATGCAGCTTACGCACATTAACTACCCCTTTTAGCACAGATGTCTCTTTGGGGTTATTGTTGAAAAGGTATCGTTCCTTATTTGGGGAAGTTGCGTTCCTAGAGGGCAGGGATCATCTTATTTGTTTCTTTTATCCAATATTGAGTATTCTTGTAAATAGTGAGCTTGCAACAAATGACTAACTTTTTTCTTTTCGGTTAGTGTTTGTAGGTGTGCTGGAAAGATTCACAACAACAAAAACCAAACTTATATTAAACTACAGAATAGATGTTAAAAAGAGGTAAAAAATCTTAATACATGCCCTTGTAGAGGAAATAATGTTTAAAGATCCACTGTGGACATAACTTAATTACTGTACAGTTAGGTTCAATTATGAGGTTGATCTAAAAGGAACTGTCCTTATTGCAGGTTTGGTTACAAAAGTACGGCTACCTTCCACCAACTGACCCCAGAATGTCGGTGCTGCGCTCCGCGGAGACCATGCAGGCCGCCTTAGCTGCCATGCAGCAGTTCTACGGCATTAACATGACAGGAAAAGTGGACAGAAACACAATTGAGTAAGTAATGGCATCCACACTCTTCTTTCTGTGGTCCTTGAGTCAAACCTAGTAGTCTGAGAAAGTTCAACCACAAGTGGAACAATTTGTCCTATTCTTTGGAATTTAACCTGTCTCAACCCTCCTCCCCTAGGACGTCAGGTTTGTCAGAGTCAAATTTACTCACTTGACTTTAGCGACACTTCTTCAGAATAGGAGGGGAGAAAGGAACAATGAGAGTTAGAGTAAATGTACAGTTGAAGCTGTTGCAGGAAGAGCTACGTCAGTGATGCGTTGGAGCCGGCTTGTGCTGCTGGTGCGGACATACTGGACACATCTCTTCCCTGTTAAGTGACATGATATCAATAGCTTGAAATTGGCCGAAATAGGAATATTAAGGAAAATGGGACACAATACAAATCCGGGCTCTTTTTGAGGGAAAGGGTGTTAGAGAGTCACTTAACCTTTTATTAGCCTCCAATTTGTGGTCATTCTCTACATGAGTAAAATCAAGGAGAGGTTCACTGAAAGTCTCTCCTTTTAATTTTTGATTAGCAAATGGATTGTTTCTACTCTTTAATAATATTTGTGATTTTATGGATTGATTCATCAATCATTTGTTCATTTATTTATTCAACCAATGACTCATTACTGGGCATTTCACCTGTGAAAGAGGCATATACAGATCGGAGGACAGAATCTCTTCAGAGGAACCAGGTTAACTGTGTAGCTAGACATAATTACAAATTATTTTAGCACAGGTACACTATAAGTTCTGCAACATTATGAAACGGCATTATTGTTTTTAGACAGCAAAGGAGGAAGTGATTAATTCTCTGAGTGCAGGGAAGAATCATCTGTGTTTATCGAGTCCTTGATACTCGGAAGTAAATCTACTTCATCATTTAATACGATCATCATACATCAACCCTCCACAGTAGGCAAGACAAGGATACATTTTTCTCTCTAATTTTTCAAATAAAGGAACTGAAAGTCAAAGGCTAAGTGAAGTCCAGAGGAATTGCAGTATCCAGACCTTTTGATGTTTCGTTGGAGAACTTTCTACTATACCATGTTGTGGATCTCAAGAAATGACACATTTATTTTTCTTTTTAAACCTTAAATACCTGAAATTACTTAGTCCAGGTATATATACTTTTTATATATTAAACTAATTCAATATGTAATTTAAAAATTATATTTTGCCTTCTAATACTTACAGCATGATATTAGTCATATAATTTCTATATCAAGATAGGATGAGTACATGATAAAAGGCTTGAAGATTAAACATTAAAGCAGTTTGGCAAAATAAATATAATTACCTCTCCTAGCATTTTTTTTTTTACTGACTTTTTTTTTTTTTTTAAGATTTTATTTATTTATTTGACAGACAGAGATCACAAGTAGGTAGAGAGGCAGGCAGAGAGAGAGAGGAGGAAGGAGGCTCCCCGCTGAGCAGAGAGCCCAATGCGGGGCTCGATCCCAGGACCCCGGGATCATGACCTGAGCTGAAGGCAGAGGCTTTAACCCACTGAGCCACCCAGGCGCCCCTTCTCCTAGCATTTTTAAGAGATAGATAAATAATAACTTTGGTATACCATCTGGGAAAAATAGAACCAAGAATTAATATAATGAATTCTGCAAGAATGAGGAACTTTCATTAGTATTGGGAATAGAACTTGGATATTTTGAACCTGCTGCCTTCTATTCATTGTAATTCGCCATTAAGAGTGTCCTAAATAAATATAGCTTTAAATTAATTTTTATTACAATTATAAATTAATTTTAAAGATAGCTTATTAAGTTAATAAGCAAACCCACAAGTCCTACATTTTGTTGCTGCATAAAGTACAGAATTCCATTTAAATCATACTTCTAATCCGAACATTTTACAAAGTGCTCGGAATAGCTTTTGTGCTCCCTAATGCAGAGCTGTTATCTTCTGATTCACTTTCCTGGGCCATATGACACAGTTTTTAAAAACACAATAAATTGAGAGCTTGGGAAACAAATTCCTTTGAATCTGCTTATTACCAGATATTAAAATTCAGAAAGCAGAGTTCTATAGAAGGCGGCATCTGTGTTTCCTCTCCTTTTTGAGAGCTCCTGCTGGTCATCGGGAGCACTCAAGATGGATAGGTTTGATTTCCTAAGATAGCTGGAAAAAGGTCTTTGTCAGGAGATGATGGAAGAGGAATGTGTAGGATTTATTTAGGCTGCTTAGGTGGAAAGGGTCTGAACGGTTTTTAGTTGTTCTCCAGCAGGACAACGTCAAATGCAGAGGTCCAGAAAAAGACCCTGTGTCCTTTTCTGCCACACAGTGGCTCAGATTCCAGACCAGGAGAAATGATTGTGTCAGTGTGTAGGAGTTAAAGTAGCATTTCTGTGAATTATAGCATTGTAGAGAAAAGATCAACTATATAGGCAACCTTTAATTTAAAACCAACCAGTGTTTTGGTCTGTTTGTTTGGTTTTCTTTAACCAAACTTTGTTCTAAGTCAGTTTTTTTTCTTTTTTCTTTTTTTGTTTTGAATTGGAAATGCATTTTTTTCTTTACATACAGTATTATTTTTAGGTGAGCCCACTAAAGCTCTATTAAACCTTCATCACCATTCCTTCCTAGGTGACCCTGCTTCCTCTGTCCCCTCTGTCACCCAAATTGTCACTCAGACTAGAAACCCTGTGGCTTCATCGGCTTCCTGTCTGTTTTTTTCCACTGATGTATCCCCAGTCCCGAGGTAGTGTTGCGCAGGGTACTCAGCTCAAATAATGTACTATTTTTGGAAGTATAATCCCCATAATCATGCTACTTAAGCAATTGTCTGTACTTTTATAATCTCGAATGTGTCGTAACAATCCCTGCTGAAATTGTACTCTATTATTTTACATAGCCAAATTATAAAGTATGAGTTTTTATCTAAACCTTATCACATAAAACATGGACTACAATTACAGACCTAAAATTACTCCTCAGTATTAAAATAAATGGCTTAAGAATCATTTTCAGATGCTATAAACTTTTATCTAATTGTAGGCTCTTGTCAAGATCAGTTGTTTTTAAATTAAATTATGTCCTCCTTTGTCAGACAGACATTTGATGCATTCAGTCCATAGTTCTTGAGTAATTAAAAGTAATGATGCAGTTGTGGTGATTCCTATATTATGTTGAAGAAGTTAACCATTTTCCAGTGACAAATTTAAGTATTACCTTAAATGGCTTATTATATTGCTTTCATATCCGTTAGCATTGGTGTTGGAGAGACAGGAAGGAATACTTACTCCCCTACCCCAAAATGAGCTCATTATCATCTGTTACAATGGTTCAAAATTGTGGGTTGCTTAGCTAATTTTTATAAGCAAGCTTACTTAAATTCCTTGTAAGTGAAGCAATTTACGTTATGCACTGAAAAAAAGATTGTATTTAGCATGGAGGGAAAAAGGTAGCAAGGCAGTAATAAAAATAAGGCTAATGTGTTTTTACAACATTAATGGTAGTATTTTAAAATTTTAATTCATTTTCTATGTGTGCATATTATCATGCATTGAAACATGCTTGATGAGATATCATTTTAAGGTGAACTTTCTTTTTTATCTCCCTCCATATATATGTATATACATATACATACACATATATGTGTACACACATAAATATGCAAATATAGACATATATTCACACACATATATAGGATGATCTGAGTTATTCTGTTTATTAATTCATCTTAGTTAAAATTAATTTAAGACAGAATGTATAGCTTTTTTCAAATAATTATTATGAAACCCCAGTGTATTTGAATTCTCCTAATTTGAGAATTGAAATATTTATTTAGTTATATCAAGAACCATAAGCTTTGAGGCTTAATTTTCAGTATGTTTCATGAGTTTCAGTCATTTGTCTAAATTATCAAGTTAAGACTCTTTCAATCTAGGTATAAAAGATAGATTCGTCAGTAATTAAATTTCTTTTTCTTTATTTCTGATTATAGCAATAGGTTTGAAACACTTTAACATTATAGGATGGATCAGTCCTTATTTTGGTAACTACAGAAGGGTTGCTGCTAGCTAAATCAGCCTTATTCCCCCTCTAGAAGGTAAAAGGGGAAAGCTTAAACGAGAGCTGACACTAGCTGAGCTTTTTCTTCACGTTGCAGATCATGGAAGCTTATTACATCTCTTTTCTGTGATCAGGTTTTCAAGTACCCTAACTGCAGTTTCAGCTTTGTGAATAAGCTGTGTCCATGGAGGTCGTTCATGAGTGGATAGAAAAAAGAAACTGTGGACCCGAGTGAGCTATCAGCCTAGCTACATTTTGAGCCCTAAGCTAATTTACTTTAGAAAATCTTCTTCACGACTCCTGGACTTCATTCTCTGAGTACAAATAAAACCTAAGGATTTTTTTAAATTCATAAAAATTAGCATTTTTAAAAATTTGTAAAATGATCTTTTGGGGACAACTGTAAATAGTAGATATTACTCTTACCTTCCATTAGAACATGGAAGAGTCTGGAGGATAGAAACCTGTTAATTATGCAGATGAACATTTTCTTACATTATTAATCCATAAGGCAGGAGATACAATTTTGTGAGTTTTTTTTTTCTCCCTGGTTAAAACAGGTATATGTGTACAGAGCCCCTGTGTGGTATCACTCCAATTCCAAGGGACACCACTCCCATTGTATGCATTTTATTGAAATACTGTCTTCCTATAGCCCCACTCTGGGGGCACCAGGTGAGTGGACTCAACCTGAAGGCATCCTTGACAGTCATACAATCAGAGGCCTGATATGTTTGACTTGAATACCCAACTCTTGAAAAAAAAAAAAAAAAAAAGGGTTACTGACCTATGATCCAGCAATTGCACTACTGGGTATTTACATATGCACCCCAATGTTCATAGCAGCAATGTCAACAATAGCCAAACTGTGGAAGGAGCCAAGATACCCTTCCAGAGACCAATACACAATGGAATATTACTCAGCCATCACAAAGGTTGGATACCCAACTTTTGCATTGACATGGAT